AAACATGTTATGCTAAAAACATTTACGTATCTTCTTTAAAGAAACTTTACACCACTATGTAGGTAAATCTCTGTTGAAATGAGCAACTGGTGTGCCCTTTAATTCTTTTTTCAGTTTATTACTTGTTAGTCTTATACTCTCATTGTAAGAAGCTGAAAAGTGCATAAAAGTAAAAAGGAGGAAAATATCCATAATTCTATTGTCCTGAAGGACACATGACAATATTTTGGCTTAGTATTTCCTTCCAACTTTTTTGTTTATGATTAAAAAAAAAACAACACTGCTGAAAATCCTAAGTATACATAGTTTTACATCTGCTTTTTTTTTTTTTTAAATATATTTTATTGATTTTTCACAGAGAGGAAGGGAGAGGGACAGAGAGTCAGAAACATCGATGAGAGAGAAACATCGATCAGCTGCCTCCTGCACACCTCCCACCGGGGATGTGCCCGCAACCGAGGCACACGCCCCCGACCGGAATCGAACCTGGGACCCTTCAGTCCGCAGGCCGGTGCTCTATCCACTGAGCCAAACTGGTCAGGGCTACATCTGCTTTTTTTGTGGTGAAACTGACTAATTTCCACATCAGGGAAAATATTTTTTAAAAACTTTATTTTTAATGGCTGAATAGTATTCTATTATAGATTATACTGTAATTTAATTTCACAGTTGAGCTGTTTTAAATGTTTTCTTTTTATAAGTAAGCCAACAATTAATATTATGTGTGGGAATACTTGTTCCTATATTCTAGATATTTTCTTAAATAGATTCCGTAACAGTAGATTACTGATGCAAAGAAGTGAACATTTTTAGGTTCCTGATTTATAACGACACCTGATTTCCAGAAAGAGCCCGTCAATACAGCCCACCAGCAGTGCTGGAAGCGAGTCTTATCACACGGATGCACAGGGGCAGCAGTGCGTACTGCTGGTTTTAAATCTTAAAGGTGTAAATGGAACCAGGTCTGCACGGCTCAGCAGCTGAGTGTTGACCTATGAACCAAGAGTTATGGTTTGATTCACGGTCAGGGCACATGGCTGGGTTGCAGGCTCAATCCCCAGTAGAGTGTGTGCAGGAGGCAGGTAATTAATGATTCTCTCTCATCACTGATTTTTTTTTCTATATCTCTCTCCCTCTCCCTTCCTTTCTGAAATCAATAGAACTATATTAAAAAGAAAAAAGGTGTAAATGGAGGCTCTGACATAGCATCTTGCTCACAGTTGCCCAAGAAGCTGGGTGGCAAAAATCTACTTTTTCTGTCTGGGGAGCTCTCAATGGCGTCCCACTGTCTCCCCCATAATCAAAGTAAGTGCATCCTGGCATTCGTATGCTTTAATACATTCCTCTTGGAAAAAAGAAATGATAGGATGTTAGGTCTGACAGTGCTCGAGGGAGAACCTAGCAAGGACTTCACTCCAGCCCTGCTGACTCTGAGTCCAGGGCACGTTTCACTGCCCCTGTTTCTGTACCTTGAGAAAATTACAAATTAAAGAAATGCGGCCCTGCCACCTTCAGGGCATTAAGAAAAGTGAAAATGAAAAGTCACCAAAGAGAAGGAAAACAGTTTGAAAGGACATCAGTGTAGAGGTACTTTTCTCCTAGTCTTCTCAATTCATGGTATTGCAGTGGTGCATTTTGTGTATTACAGATAAGAAATTTAATCAGAAACCAATTTTCTTACTTTAAGAGTCGCTGCTGTATTTCTTCCCAGGAATCCCTGCGGTTCTCATCGACATACATTCGAAACAGGATCCTCAGACAACAGGCCAGGCTGCTGGTTTCTTGTTTTAGAAGATTGGGTTTAGACTTGCCTTTAAAACCTAGAGATCAAATAGTCACTGAAATTGTGCACATTCTAGGTTACTGCTGAAAAATCATCTGGGAATCTAATCTAATATAGTAAAAAGTACCCAAACAGCTCACTTTCTTTTTTTTTTTTTAAAGTGTTTTTATTGATTGGGGGGCGGGGGGGGAGCTTACATTCTTAATACGGCTCAACTATGATACTAGGTAAAGGCAGTCAGAACAGCTCACCCGTGCTCTGTGTAAGACACACTTCGTCCTCACTGCCTGCTCTCTGCTCCCTTAGACTCTGCTCACTGGCTGGTGAAGCCATTTGTTTCAGCTTCTCAAGATTCTAGCATGTTGCAAGAACTCCCCCCCCCCCCCCCATACAAAGCACGCATAAGAACACATTTTCTTAAACAAAGCAGTACCAATCAACCACAGAGATGTGTAACCCACTCTCAGAGACAAGACCTCATAATAGGCAAAGATAACACATCTAGGTATTTTAAAGTCATAGAGAAAAATGAGATTTAAAAATTGTGGGTTAAAATAGGCATTTGGGGATTAAAGTAATGGTAATACAAAAATTATATAAAGTATCACTATTGTGCAAAATTAAAAAAATGAGCCTCCCACCATCACCCCAGGATTTATGTAAATATTTTTGGAGGTGAGGAAGAGAGTGGACCCCTAAAAGCTTCAGAAAATGTATGAATGCTTTGTTTCTCCTAGACTACTACACTTATTATATCATCATATAACTACATAATTTTAATCTAATGTAAAAATTTTTTTTTATTTACTACATCAATTCAATTTTCAACTTGTTTTTCCATTAAAAACTTACTGAGAATCTCTCACAAGCCAGGCAATATTCCTGGTACTGCGATAAAATCTATCCAGCAATTTCTTTCTTTCTCCCTCAAGCATGGAAATAGTTGGTAAGTTATTGCAGCTATGTGTACAATATCAGGAATCTCCCAAAGGCTTTAAGGTTTTAGGGTGATAACCACTGTGGCCGCCTGTCCTAACTGCTGTGTCCTCACCTGCTCGCCATAGGACAGTTCGCTGCTCGTAATTGGAGTTGAAGGCTTTTGAGAATGAATGGGACTCCTGCAAGCAGTCCAACAGCTTGAAGAGGTGCTGGGAAGACATGCACTTATACATGCCCTGATCCTCCGTCTCTATGTGGATGTCCGCATCCAGCGTGTCTTGCTAGAGGGGAGGACAGAGCACTAAGTAAGGAAGATGAAGTGGTTTTGGACACTGTAATATCTGATACAGGGAGTTATACTCTCCAAAAGTCCTGTCCTCTGTGTAAGACAGCCTGCATTCCTCAACACCCTGAACTATTTCCCACTTAGACTCTGCACACTGGTGAGAGAATATTCTGAGCTCTTGCACAGTGGAGGGCTTTGCTGGCCAATGTTTCAGTTTGGTCAGTATTGCCTTCAGGGTATGAACACTGTATATTTCTCCAATTATTTCACTACAGGAGTGCATTGTTCTCTTTTTATTTTATAAAGAAATTGGAAAATGGCAAAATCAAATTGTAGTATTTTCTGTGACAGAAAGTTTCTCAAAATATACTCCCTGAAAGACAGAAATTATTGAGCAAAGCCTAACTGGAATCTTTAGTTTCATCAGGTGATGAATGAACTTAACCATTTAACTGCCACGCACCCAAAACAGAAATCCCCGCGTCTATAGTTGCTTATAGTGAACAAAGGGTTAAGTTCAACAACTGTGTTTTCCAATGTGAAGAAAACAACGCATAAAAACATGTGTGAAATGCTAGAAATTTTTATTGAACACGTTGCCTGAGATGTGAGATGTAATCAGGGATTTTATATCCCTTAAGCCTTCTTGGAATGGACCCCATCCTCCTCAGAAGGCAGAGGTTACAAGAGGACAAAAGGAGCAGAGTTTGCAATACTCTCCAAATTGATCTATAGAGTCAACAGCTTATCAAAATCACAGTTGACTTCTTTGTAGAAACTGACAAGCTCTCTTAAAATTAGTATGAAATGTAAGTGACACAGAGAAGCCAAAATATCTTGAAAAAAGAAGAGCATTGGCGATCTTGCTTCCTGGCAATGTCATCAGTTTGGCTCAAATAAATTCTTATATATATAAAAAAAGCACAAAGTTTGAAGACTCATATTTTCCAATTTCAAAACTCAATAAAAAGCTGCAGTAATCAAGACTTGTGGTAACTGGCATAAAGGTAGACATAAAGATCCATGTAACAGAACTGAAAGTCCTTATAAATCTATAATAATAAAAGCATAATATGCTAATTAGACCAGACAGCCAAACAACCTTCCAGACGTCCTTTGGACGAAGCTGGGGCTGCGAGGGCTGAGGCAAACCGCTGTGGCCGAGAGGGCCGAGGAAGGGAGAGGGAGAGAGAGATAGAAACATCAGTGATGAGAGATTGCTTTCTGCATTTCCTTGAACTTTCTCAAGGAAAAACTGGTATTATCCGCATATGTTTCCCTCTCAGTTATTTGCAGTTAAATTATATACCAGTTATGAGAAGTAGTCCTGTGATTAATAACATTCAAGGTGGGGATGGCATCTGAGCAATGGTATGCTGATAAATTGGCTCTCTGGGGAGTAAAAATAAAAAGAAGCCCTGACGTTTAGCTTTTGCTGATTTCTGTGGTGTAAACACTTCCATCTCGGCCAATTTGAAGCTACCAATATTATTATTTTTAAAAAATATATTATTGGTTTCAGAAAGGAAGGGAGAGGGAGAGAGAGATAGAAACATCAGTGATGAGAGAGAATCATTGATTGGCTGCCTCCTGCATGCCTCCAACCGGGGATCGAGCCCACAACCCAGGCATGTGCCCTTGACCAGAATCGAACCCAAGACCCTTCAATCCACAGGCCGATGCTCTACCAACTGAGCCAAACCGGCTAGGGCCAATATGATGTTGAACACGGGGTTGGGAAAAGACGAGCATGATGGGCTCTTGCGAGCCAGTACCAGCTGGTTCCAGCACACCACTGCACCTGCACAACTTCCCCAGGGGCAAGGATGCCCTTCTCAAGGCCTGCTTTCATTACCTGGGCAGCAACCATGTGCTCTGCATCTTCTTTTTTGCTCGTTGCTGGGTAGAACACGATGTTGTCAATGGCTTGTATCAATTCCAACTGGACCACGCACTTGATGAGGAGGCTGGCAAACAGTTTCTGATCTATATTAGATGATAAAGATTAACCCTAATAATAATTCAGCCAGTATTGGATAAATATTCACTGAGCTCCTACTATGTGCCAGGACGGTTCTTGATGCTGTGGCCTAACAATGAATAAGCAAGATAAAAATCCCTGCTCCCATGGAAGAAACAGACAACAAATAAGGTATCTAAGTGTATGATAGAGTATGTCAAATGATGAAGATGTATGTAGGGGTGGGGATAAGGTAAAGATGGGGTCAGGATTGGTTTGCAAATTTAAGCAATGTGGTCAGGAAAGGCCTCTCTGAAAATGTAGTATTTGACCAAAGACCAAGACCTGAAGAAGGAGAGGAGTCAGCTATGAAAGTCCAGTATCCTCCAGTCACATTGTGGGCCACTCCTACAGAGCAGCTCAGGACTGTGCCCTAGACACAGGAGGCCACAGGTTCCTATGGTGGTCAGACGCTCCTAAGAGGTTGTATCTGGGTCTTAAAGGGCGGGGCTCATTTAAGTTCTTAGTTCTGGATTGCCCTGGAGGCAGAATTGCTTTCTGCATTTCTTACTTCTGTATCCCTCAAGAGTCGTGTACCCCTTTTGGTGGTTATCCATCTTTGACTAGTTAATAATTCTTTATGTTGAATTTTCCCTGTCCATATTATTGGTGGGTTTCTGTCTATTGACTAGACTCTGACTAGTGTTGCAGCCATCTTTTCTTCTAAATTCCTGGGCTCAGGGGCAGCCTATGTCAGGCACTTCATAGGTGTTAATTGACATAACTATAGTAAAAGTATAGATTTCTATTCAACTTATTGTTATAGAATCAGAATATGGAAAACACTAAATGAAGTGTTTAGTGACGGCAAATAAGGAGGATGGGTCATCCTCAAGTTTTTGAAACTGGCTATGAAATTATATAAGATCTCCATGAAGAATTCATTTTAATTAAAAAAGAATACAGTGGAGTTGCAATGTTGTAACTTACACCAATTCAATTATGCATCATTGACCAAAAATAAGAACAAGGAAAGAAAACAATACAAGCAGAGTAAGAGATTCTCCTGCTGTTCTGCTCACTGAGCTGAAGCCTAGAAGGGAGGCGAGATGGGAGCCTGGGAGAAACCAACACTGCTCCTTGGAGGGATGGCAGGGTCTTGAGTCCCAGGCGTCTCTCAGGGTACAGATGTTTTGCTGCACTGACAGTGGTTCTACACTTGCTCCCCATACACAAGCCAGCCCTTTACCTGGAGTTGATGAGGCAACAGTACTCATGCTCTCAGGGACATGGGGGAAATGGCTGTGCTGGTTAGTGGGAACAGTGCATCAGTCTCCAGCATGGTGCCTTGGTAATGCATTTCAAGGGGGATTAGTTTTTACGCCTTCAAAAGATAATGAACACATGGCTTTGTCTGAGGTGCTGTTTAGAAGTTAATGGCAATGCTAACACCTACAGCCAGGCATGTTGAGAAGTGGGTGAGTATGTTAGGAAGAAAAACAATGGGGCACATAACTTTAAAAAGAGCAGACTCACATCAGAACGGTTCTGATTTCTCAGTTAGCCAAAGTGTGCCTGAATCACAACTCTACCACATATTGCAGGTCATGCCGTGGGTTTGAGTCCCAGGCCACTCAGATGTAAAACTACCGCCTCAGAGGGCTAGCATGAGGGTTCCATGGGGTCACACACATGAAACACACTGTACAGTGCCTGGCTCATAGCAACTGGTAAACCTATTTTTTAAAAAAATGACAGACAGCAAAAAACAGGAGAAGCAACACCATAAGCAACACCATAAGATACAAACTGGTAAAAGTAATTTGAAGCTAACATCCAGAAAAGGGATCTCTAGCACAAAAAGAGCTCCTCCAAACCAATAAAAAAAAAGAGCAACAATCAATACAAAATGAGCAAAGATTATGAACAGACAGTTCATAGAAAAAAAAATAGAACTGCTTCTTAAACACATTAAAAAATGGCTCAGTCTCACTCATTATTAAAAAGCTGCAAATTAAAATGACTCCAAATATACCAAATATCACTTAGGTGTTTCCAGAGATCATGTAAACAGGTATAACCTTAATGGGCAGCAATCTGGACTTATCTGCCAAAATGGCAAATAGCACTTATCAGTTAACCCAGCAATCCAATGACTAGAAATTTCGGTCATATGATAACAGATAAATTCATAAATGATGCACACTAGGTGATTCATGCAGTATTGACTGTAACATAAAAATAGTGGGAATAATACAAATGTCTTTTAGTAGGGACCCAATTACACAAATAACATCTACAGACTGAAATAATATACAATCATGTAGAAGAATGTGAAAGCTGCTTAGGTACTGATTTTGAATAAGCTCTAAGATATATTAAGTGATAAAATAATAATGCATAGTATTCTACAATTTGCATAAAGAGGAGAGAATTGATGTAAATGTATATACAGTATCTATATGTAGTATATCTATATATCTGTAACTATCTGTCTATGTGTACATATATATTGGTGTGTTATGGATATGCATTTCTTGCATATGAACAAATGTCTCTGGAAAGGCACATAAGAAACTGGTGGCACTGGCGGCCAGACGGGAAGGAACTGGCAGACTGAGGCACAGTGTGGAAAGGCTTATCATGTTTACCCTTTTGTGTCTTCTGAGTATCTGAACCATGTAAATGTGTTACCTATTTAAAATAAATAAAAAATAAAAAATAAAAAAGTGGCCTTACTTGCGTATGGTCTACCTTTCCAGCTCTCATCAGTGGGGTTAGAGAGCTGGCTCTGGCCTCTCTCAGAGGCATTTTTGTCTATGCTGCTTAGAGACTGGCGGTCCAGATCCACATCCTAAAAGTAAACCGGAGAGAAATACAACGGTCACTTCTCTTCATCTGTAATTCAGCACCTGGGCAGAGCGGTGCCTGTTTTAACACTGGGGCCCAACTTAAATATAAGTGTCTTGCTCAGCTTGAAGTACAATTACATTGCATGCTTAAAGTGACACTTCTCAGAGGCTGCACAGGAGAGATTACGAATTTCAATGATTTCTTCCCTCCATTAAACCTTCATATTTTCTCATTCCAATTTAGAGGGCATTTCTCGACATATGATTTAACAATGAGCATGACCAAATTTTAATGAGATCAAATTAAAAAATAAACTAGTGCAATAGCTTGCCTTTTTTCCTTTTTAAATTGACTACAGAAGACAGAGTTTAATAGCTATGTATGGTGTCATCGGGATACTAGATTTATTGGGGGGATTACTTTGTAAGTTATATAAATGTCTAACCACTATGCTATATACCCAAAACTAATATAATATTGAATATGTCAACCATAATTGAAAAAATAAAAAAGTAAAGTTATAAAATGAAAAAAACCCACCAGAAAGTTTAAATAATGGGCTTCATTGTTAAGTTGCTATATCCCAAAATGCCTTTTGAAATCTAATGCCCTTTTTGTTATTTGGGAATAGAAGTTAGTATTACAAACACTGCCCGGCCGGTGTGGCTGAGTGTTGACCCATGAATCAGGAGGTCACGGTTCGGTTTTTGGTCAGGGAACATGCCCGGGTTGCGGGCTCGATTGTGTGTGTGTGTGTTTGTGTGTGTGTGCGTGCAAGCGTGGTCCAGGAGGCAGCTGATTGATGATTCTCATCATTGATGTTTCTATCTCTCTCCCCTTCTTTCCTCTCTGAAATCAATATAAAAACACATTTAAAATAAATTACAAACACTTGTAAAATACTTGTAAACCAAAGTATTTTAAAGTGGGACTTGAATTAGGACTTTATGTTGCTGCACACAAAAACAACTACTACTTGGTAGTCTGTGTATAACTTCCGTTATACAGCGAACGTATTGTTAACGTTTAGTAAGTGTCAACACGCTGCAGCTGATACTCTAGTTCAGTGATGGCGAACCTTTTGAGCTCGGCGTGTCAGCATTTTAGAATAGCATTTTAGAAAACCCTAACTTAACTCCGGTGCCGTGTCACATATAGAAATTTTTTGATATTTGCAACCATAGTAAAACAAAGACTTATATATATATATATATATATATTTTTTAAAATATATATTTTATTGATTTTTTACAGAGAGGAAGGGAGAGGGATAGATAGCTAGAAACATCGATGGGAGAGAAACATGGATCAGCTGCCTCCTGCACACCCCCTACCGGGGATGTGCCCGCAACCAAGGCACATGCCCTTGGCTGGAATCAAACCCGGGACCCTTCAGTCCACAGGCTGACGCTCTATCCACTGAGCCAAACCGGCCAGGGCAAGACTTATATTTTTGATATTTTTTATATATTTAACTGCCATTTAACAAAGAAAAATCAACCAAAAAAATGAGTTCGCGTGTCACCTCTGACACGTGTGTCATAGGTTCGCCATCACTGCTCTAGTTAATCCTTGCTTAGTTGGAAAGCCAGGTATGAAAGTATGGCATATACTGAACATTCTTTTCTATACAAATGATTAATTTATTCTGAAAACAAATAAACCAAAAAATCCCTAAAAACTACTACTTCATTGGTGGAGAGAAAAAGCACTCTCTACTTAAGAGGATAATAAACGAAGATAATTACACCAAAGTATTTATAACAGTGAAGTATGGGAACTGACCTGTCCAACAAGGGAGAATTCATTAAATAAATTATAATAATGTGCAGCTACTGAAAAGGCTGTTCTCAGAGAATATTTAAAATATGGGAAAATGCTCACAATGTTAATACATTATGTGCCAAGTAAGCCAAATTTCAAATATGGGGGTTACGTGAGTGCAGTCACATAAAGAAAAAACTAGAAATGTTTTGTGTTTTTTATTGAGTGAGATGACTTATTTTCGTAATATTTTTCTACACTTTTGAAAAACCGTGTTAATGAACATATATCGTTTTTAGATCTTATAACGATTTTAACTCACTTCCCATCAGGAAAGCATTAACTCTTTGGGCTGCTAAATCTTTTACTATAAAATGAGAAAAGAGAACCAAAAAGAAATCTTACCAAATGTTTTTCTGATGAGTCTTCCTCCATTCCCACAGGCCTCCACGTCAGCAAACTTGAGAAAATGCAGAGAAGGAAAATGATCACTTGAAAGGCAACGCAGAGCTCTAAGACTCCACTGCACACACAAACACATAACGACAATCATACTAACACTTACACATGTGGGATGGTTGTTTTGAAAATATCCATCATACAACTGCACGTTTTATCCCAGACATCAGGACTGAATTTCTCTCCATTGGATATTACTAAGTTTTCTAAGCAATTTGTACCTGATCGAGCCAATTGCTCATTATCTGTAAAATAAAATAATATCTATCATTAAACTTCAACTGCTCTTTGATTCCAAACAGATTGCTGATGCTTCATGTTGTGAAGTGGAGACTATGCCACTGGTGGGTTTATAGGCTTTTAATTAATGCAGCATTGCTACAGATAGTATTAACATTTTTATAGTTCAAGTGGGGGAGAAATTATTTCTCATAGCTTTACTGCTAGGGATCGGAAGAAGGTCAACATTTTGCTACTTAATTAACTCGCTTCTTGTATGAGAAATGGTAAGAGAAGATGGAAAATATCAGAACAGTGTTTTTAAAAATGTAGTCATTCAAATTCTATTTTTCCAATTTTTGCCATATCAGTATCAACTGCTTTATCATTTATTTTAAAACGGAGTCACTTTTTGAAAAGCTTAAATTAAGCCTCATCTTACGAAGCCAAAACTATCTAATGCATCCAGATCTAATGTGCTATGTGGGTATTTTTCCTAATACACACTAAAATAAACACCTAAGTATTAAAACAAAAAATGTCCATCGATGAAGCTATTGCTCTTGACTCCCACAGTACATTTAAAAAACATTATAGAAAATTTTAAACATAGACAAAAATAGAAAAGAATAGTGTAACTTACAAAAAGGTACATCTTTTAAAATATAAAAATACATCCCATCTTAAAGAAATATAAACTGACTTGGTTGAGAGATTGTTTTTATGTCCTAATTAAAATTTTAAAAATACATTTTCACCAATGAAATTAGGGGTGGGGAACATCCAGCTCGAGGGCCGCCTAAGGCTGGGAAAATCATCTGGTCAGGCCCTGCCAAGGCATTAGGGTGAGTTATTAAATGTTTGACCAAATATAGCAGCTAATTTTTAAGCTGATAATTTTGTATGGCCTGTGAATGATGTTATAAATATCAAAATGGCCCTTGGCAGAAAAAAGGTTCCCCACCCTTGAATGAAATGATACAGTGTACTCTTTGGCATTATAGCCATGCTTTTATATGTGGAAAAAATTAGTCTCTCATGAAGGACTATGTCAAGATAAATGATGCCTAGAGACATAGAATACCTTGTTTTACACACCACTGCAACTGTGCAAATATATCAGAAAGAAGAACTTCATTCAAAGCTTCATAAAACTGGGTAAATACGTCACAAATAGCATAAAGTGCATGATTACAAGTTGTTGTCATCCACTCAGATTTCTGGAAAAACAGTAAAAAGATAATATTTAAAGACCACTCTGTCCCAGACATCATTGACAAACTATTCTAGAAAGCAATCTAGCATCGTGTATCAACAGTCCTATCAGTTCACATCCATTGGTGCAAGAACACTTCTAGGAATGAACCCAAAAGAAATAATCAAAGATTTATGGGTGAGGTTTATGTTTATCACACTGGTATTTATACACTGTAAACAGATACAAACTCATGTCCAGCAATGTGCGATTAAATTGAGTACATCCATGTGACAGGACATTAAACAGTCATTCAAAGTATTACTTACAAAAATTTTTAATGATTTGGAAAAAATGAATATAAGATTATGCTAAATATACCATACATCAAAAATTTAAATATTAAAAATGAGTAAATAGGCATCTTTCAAAGAAGATATAAAAATGGCCAACAGCCACAGGGCAAGGTAGTCAACATCACTAAACATTAGGGAAATGAAAATCAAAACCACAATGAGATGTCTCCTCACAGCTGTTAGAATGGCATTCATCAAAAAGACAAGAGATAAATGCTGGAGAGGATGTGGAGAAGAGAGAACACTTGTGTACTGTTGGTGGACTGTAAATTGGTACAGCACTATGAAAAACAGTATGGAGGCTCCTAAAATATATACATATATATAGAACTACCATATGATCCAATAAATTCTACTTCTAGATATATATCTGAAAAAACTATGTTGAAGAAATATCTAGCCCTGACTGGGTTTGCTCAGTGGTTAGAGCGTTGGCCTATGGACCAAAGGGTACCAAGTTTGATTCCCAGTCAAGGGCACATACCTCTGTTGTGGGTTTGATCTCTGGCCCTGGTCAGGGTGCGTGCAGGAGGCAACCAGTAGATGTGTCACTCTCACATCTCTGGCCTATCAAATTAATGATTAAATAAATTACAAAGAGCTGGAGTGGGTATGGGGAAGCGGTAACTCGCATACATTGCTGGCAGAAGTGTGAAGAGCTGTGAGTGCATTTGGAGGTCAACTAGAAGTATCAAAAGCCTCAGTGAGGTGCAAGTCCCAAACCTGGCAGTCAGACCACTTCTCCTAAAAGCAAACTGTAGCTGCAAAATGTTCATTTCATTGCTGTCTAAAGGAAAATTGGAAACAATTTTCCGTGGACTATGGAACATCCACAGATAGGAATGTTTTGCAGTCCTTAAAAACATTGTGGAGGACAAGTTGCAGTTGTAGAAAAACACACATTAAGTTAAAAAAAGCAGTTCCCAGTATATGATGGGATTCCATTTTTGTTAAAAAAAGAAAAGTGTATAATACACACACACACACAACACACTCGGCATATCTGAAGGGGTTAATAGTGGTAACCTGTGGAAGTTTTAAACTGTGGGTGCTTAAATTTTTTCTGTTTTCCAATTTGTTTTATAATGAAGAAAAATTTTAATTACTTTAATATAAGATTAGAAAACTGTATCTATACTATAACCAGGTCCATTCAACAACCTTATTTAATCTATATAAAAGACAGAGGAAAACTTGCCAAAACATTAACTCTAATTTTGGAATGATTTTAAATTATGTTTTTTATATTCCTAAAATTCCATATTAAGTATATGTTCCTTTTATATCAGGGGGAGGGAGGGAATGCTGTTCCTAAAAGAAGGTAAAAAAGTTACTCTCCCATCTTAAAATCTTGAACTAGAATGCGTTCTCCTCAGCTCTTTACCTCCAGGGGAGAAATAACAAAGACAACTAGAAACATCTCATATCTTTTTAAAAAAGGCCTAATATTTGCTGACATCATCTGACTGCAAGTTCATATTAAAAACCCCTTTAAGTGTGTTTTTGAAGGGACAGAGTCACTCCACTTTTTACTGATTGTTCAGAAGTTAAGTGAACCAGTCAGGTGCCCTGCTGATCTGGCAGGTACGATGCCTCAGGGCCAAAAAGGCAGAGCGTGGTGATTAATTTCCTCTCACTTGTCCTCAGACAGGGAGAGCTTCTTCTATTAGTTGATATTGGTAGAAGAGTGCCAGGAAGGGTGTTCCCATTTTTAAAACACATCTCAGTATTTAAGACTTCCATGTAGATGAGGACACAACCCCCAGAGGCAGACAAAGGCCAGAGAGGCTTGTCTCCCATCCCATCCCGGCTGTGCTGCAGTCATCACCTACCTCCGACTGCTGCTCCGGGAGTTTCATATTATCAAAAATCCTGAACACGATTCTGAACAGGTCCTGCCACCAGTGCTTTTCAAAGGTGTGGCCATAGCTCTTCATGATCTCGAACATGACCGTGAGTCCTCTGCAGGAAACAAAGCCAGGAGCAGAAGAGGGAAGGGGGTGGGGGAAGAGAACAGCAGAGAAGAGAGTGGGAGAGCATGGGATCAGGTGAGCAGGTGACTGAGGCTCATTCAGTGAAGGGAGGGGCACCGCCCTGGGACACAGTTACCTTGTCCGCACATCTAGCTTGCACCTATTGATGATGCAGGAGAGCTCAAACAGAATGGGGAACCAGCCTCGGACCCAGACTCTGTCACCAGGAGCCACATTCATGTCATCGCTTGTGTATTCTTGTAGCACCTACAATGAAAGTCACCTCTCAGATATAGACTATGCAAGCAAAAGGAAGGAAGTGAAAGGGAACTACACAGGAGGGAAGGCCTCACACATGTTCTCTCCTGAAAGTATCCATTCAGCAAGGGATGCTGCAAAATCTTAGGTCTTAGGTCTTTCTGGAATGTTAATACAGTACTTAAAGTACTACTTAAAATAATAGCAGCAGCAGCTACTATACTGAATGCTTGTTATGGGCCAGGGACTGTGAAAGTGCTCTACATGGTTTAATAATTCTCACAATGATTCTGAGGGGCAGGGAAAAAATAATGGTCCCATTTTATAGATGAATCAACTGAGGCACTTAAGAGTTTAAGTAAACTGCCCAAGGTCATGCAGTTAAGAGCTGGCAGTCTTTCCATAGCCTGGATGTGAAGCCCTATCTCTAGGATTTCTAGCCCTCTGCTCTGTAACCACTCTTAAAGTGGCATTGTTTGTTGTAAAGGAATTTCTTTATCAACTCTGGTTATCTAACATTAGGCAATTTCTCTCTGTGCTTCAGTTAACTCTCCTGCACAATGGGGATATAACTACCCACCTCATCGGTCTGCTTTGAAGATTACATAAATCAGCGCACAGTGCCTAGAACGGTGCCTGACATGTAGTAAGTGCTCAGCCGACAGTGGCTCTCATGATCATCATCATCTTAATGAGCTGTTGTGGGGGACCAAGCATGTCCTCTCAGGGGCTTACAGTTCTGCAAAGAATGCTTGACAAGAGATCTAGCCACCATAGTTTATGTTTGTTTCCACCCAATTTCAGTGTTTTGAGATTGTCATTTAAACCAAGCAGGCCTCCTTAGATAGGTGAGACATGATAGAAAAACCCAAAATATTTCCAGGTGATTTTTCAATGTGACTTCCCAGCCATGTCACAATGGCATAATGTCATTTCCTAAAAGGGAGGTTTATTTTCCTTCAAACAGAAAGGCCTAGCTTGTTCAGCTTTGCGAAAATTCAAAGCTTAAATACTATTATTGTCTACAAAATAATTTGTAGGATACCAAATAAAAGTTCAGTTGAATAAAATAATTTCATAAATACAAAATACAGAAAAGGTATAACCCCTACAATGGAAAGCTCTTTGCCAGGAGTGGGGTTTTGGCCCCACAACTCCTCCCCCTCATCGCCCATATGAGCGAGGAAAGGAGAAATGTACCCGAGGCCTCTCGGAGACGTATTTGGCACAGAAACGGATGAGCCGGATGGCTTCCATGCTGGTGTCAGGGAAAGCGGCAT